GAGCTGCTAAGTTAGGGATTCTGCCCCAGGACCTCCCAGTCCAGCCTGTTGGCATTTAGGCACCTCTGCCAGGTGCATATGCTCAGGATGGAAGAAGCAGGCATGGAGGCTCAGGTGCCTCCCTGGGACAAGTGCGGGGGGACGAGGGGGCGTGCACAGCCCCCCATCCCTGCTGCCTCCTGGACCACCCCAGTCCTGCTGCACTGCTTCTCATCTGAAAGCTCACTGTCACACTGTGCATGGCTCTTTATCCATTTGCACACAAAGTAATGCCACAAATAAAACACTCAGAGAAAAATAAATCCCGAATATTCCAAACCACTTCAGCTCTTCTGGAAATGTGGATGTGTTCGTGTTAGATTGAATTTAGACCACCCTTCAAAGTGTCAAGCTAGTATGTGATTGTGAGATGTCTATAAACTGAGAAATTATTATAATTCTATCATAATTTACTACTTTACCGAAATAAACTAATAAGATAAATAAATACTGCCGCTTACGCCCAATTGACTAATATGACCCAAACAGAAATAAAATATCGGATGGAGGTGAGATGCCAAGATTAAACGAGATTAGTGACAGAATCTCAGCCCACTGTTTCAATAGAATTAAAGTGATGATTTAATGTGTTTTTAGCTCAGAATCATTGGAAGAGGGTTTTTTGTAATAACATAGAAATGAATACACACTTGTCCACGCTGCAGAGGAATAAAAGGTTGTAATATTTTTGAGTCTCTTGGCAGGGCAATCCATTCTCATCAATCTCACACCCTGCAGGGGGACATGAAGATGTTTTTCTTCCAATCATTCACAGTCATTATTTAATGTAGGGGAGCAGCCACTGTCTTCATTAATATATTAACCTATGGCTCAGAAAGGCCTTGCAGTAAACCAACAGACAGCTCCTCGTGACGGGTTTATGCCATAGGGCCTGGGGATGTGAGCCATCCGGTGTGCCAGCCCCTGGAAGAAGCCGACTTTGATACCCAGCCAAAGAGGGCCAGCCAGCACCGCAGCTCGCGGGGATGACCAGAGCGGGGCACCCAGCACCGCAGCTCGCGGGGACGAGTGGAGAGGCTTGGCCAGCACCCTGGCTTACAGAAACAGCTTCAGTGCTGTGCCCAGTGGCTGGTTAGAATGCGTGTGGTCTCAGCTGTGTGTCGTGGCCAGTTATGTGGGATGCTAATGCAGGAGGACTGAGAGTTCAAAGGCTGCCTGGAAAATTGGATGAGTCCCCGTCCCAAAGCATGAAAACAAGACCCTCTAGTGAAGAATTCAAGGCTTCAAATAGAGTAGATCCGTATGTTGCAGAACAGAACTAGCGCTCATAGACGCGTTGATGTAAAACAAGGAGAGTGCAAGGAATCGGCTCTTGCTCACCATTCAGGCCTCTGGGTCCTCAGGCCAACAACACCTGGCCCGGTCACCCCCATCAAAACCACCGAGCTCCTGGAAACACAGAGTCCAGCTTCTTAATGTCCCCAGCTTCAAGGAACATTAAAGGAAGTCACAGATGCAGACAGCCCTGAGCGGCCTGGACCTGTCTTCGGATCCCTTTCTTCCCCAATAACGAGAACGTGGGGCTCCCCACACCACAATCCCAGCCTGAAACTTCGCCAGCAGTGAAACTCTCGGGCTGGGGGAGCCGGGGGTGCCAGGGTCGTCTTTCTGAGACACAGCAACAATGTCATTCTCACAGGGAGAGGCCAGGACTGGCTGGCGCAGTGTGGCCCCAGCAAGTACCCTGGCGAGGAGCCCCCCGGTCCTCCCTCTCTGGAGCCCCCACTGGTCCAGCCCAAGTCTCTGTCCTTAGGCTGCTCCTGCTGCAGTGACGCAGTAGACAGGAAACACTTGGGCACAGGCTGCGGAGGACCTTGTGCCGGGTCACGCGGAGACCTCAAACAGCTCTTGCTATTGTGGGCCGTGGACGGCCTGCACCCCCTGCCCTGGTTATGTGCCTCAGGACCATCCAGCACCCGTCCTAAGGACAGGACTTTGGGACAGCAGCAGAGGCCAGGCCTGACTCCCTCCTCCTGCACCAACACAGCACTGGACAGGGACACTGCCTCGCACGGGAGCAAACAGAACGTCCAGCGCTCAGGGAAGCCTGGGTAAATACTAGCTCCACCCTCACTGCTGCTCTTTTCAGGGAGACAGAGACTCTGCTGACTGAGCTGTGCAGGCGGCACCCCAGCCTCGGTCTCCCCATCCGTACCCACCCTGGGGAGCTTGACCTGATCGGAGTGTCTGGTGCCACCCTCCTGCAACACCCTCACCTCCAGCTGAGCCGCTCCACTAAACAAGGTCCCGCCTGCCCTGCTCATGTGCTATCCCCACGGGGATGTCGGATTCACTCCCGGGACGTGGATAGTGCCATCCATTAGAGACCCAGGAGTGCTTTCGGGTTCCCAGACCCTGAGCGAGCTGCTATGGGGGTCTCCTTCCCTTCTCAGCAGGGCTGCCATCTCACTGGGCTGGCTCTGCTCTCCACCCGAAGAGCCCTCAGGATCCAGGACAGGCCCCAGCGAGGGCCGGGGATCCACAACAATCTCGCCCCACAGCTGGTCCCTCGTGCAGAGGGCCAGGCTGACGAGCCTGACTGGCCCGCTGCTGTGGGTGCCTCTCCTTTCCCTCCAGTGCCGGGTCCTCGTCCATCTGTGCTCAGCAAGGTGCCCACCACCTAGATTTCCTGGAAATGCGGCTCCTCAGGCCCCAGCCCGGAGGCCCAGGACTCACATCCTGGGCCGGGTTCAAGAGATGCTAGCCTAGAAATGGGCAGCACGATGTGGAGCCAAAGCTTCAGCCAGGGACCCCACTTCTGTGCCTTGTCCTCCCCTTGCCTTGGGGTTCCCAGTCCTGGGGGCTCCAACCTGAGCGTGGACTCAGGACAGCATCTCTGTCTAACTGTGCCCCAACTCAGGTCCTCCCAGACCCAGCCTTTACCCCAACCCCCTCCTTTCCACATCCACCACAGAGCCAGGGCTCCGTCTCAGGTGTCTGCAGGCCACCCCGAGTTCTTGCTCTTGCTACTTACATCCCAGATGTGGAGCCCCACCTGCAAGGCGCAGGTCTGACCCTGGCTGCCCTGTGCCCTCTGGTCCAGCTGCCCGCCATCGCCTTGATCTGGCCTTGTCCTCTGAGCCCAAGCCAGCCCCCTCTTTCCTCTGCAGAGCCCCCAGGGCCTCCCACTCCCTCCGAGTCCACAACCAAGTCCCCTGTGTGGTTGGTCGGACCCTTCATGCCCTGGCTTCCCTCTGTGGCCTGGTGGCCTGCTCGTTCTCCTCCAGCTACCCGCCCCTGTGGCTTCGCGCGCATCCAACCTCTGCCCGCAGGGCTCATCCCTGCACACACAGCCCCACCTCCCTCCTGCCCTCGCGCCCTCGAGGGACACCTGCAGGAGACAGCAAGATCAAGTGCCAACCTGCGCCCCCTCCCTGCCCCCACCACGCACCATCACAGCCTCTTGGTGCACTTCACTGCCCTTGCTTACCGCTGCCAGCCCCAGCGGCCAGGACAGAGGTGTGGTCAAGCCTGAGCAGGGGCCGAGGGGAACCAGAACAGGGTGCATGCGTTCAGGAGCATTTACAACGGTGTTTTCCCAGCGTGGGCAGAGGGACAGCAGCGCCAGGTGGTGCCAGGCTCCAGGGCTGGAATCGGCCCACCGCAAAGGGACCTGTGAAGCCCAGGAAAAAAACAAGGTGTTATGGTTTGTGTCTGTGTGTCCCCCCAAAGCCTCATGCGGTCATGGGGCAGGCTTTTAGGGTTTGATTGATTATAGGTGTGAGAGCTACACCCGCCCTGGGGTGGATAGTTTGTATGTGTAAGGGACAGGAAGAGGCTGCTTGGGGCGATTCCTCCCTTTTAGTGATTGTTGCTTTGCTGTGTTCTGCTGCCATGAGCTGTAGCCCTCTGCCATGTGGCACTCTGCCTTGTAGCCTGCCAAGTATGGACTAAAACCTCTACAAACTGTAAGCGAAATGAACCTTTCCTTCCTTAATTTTGGGCATCAGGTACTTTGTCCCAGCAACAAGAGGAAAGTCACCAAGACACAAGGGCAGGTGGGGAGGGCCACTCCTCTGAAGGTGGTGGCCCTGGGCCTGGGCAGTGAGCAGTAACCACCTACCAGGAGGGGGCCCTTCTGTCTCTCTATCCCTGTATCTCTCTGTCCCTCCATCCCCTCACGCTGCTCCTCCCCAGCCAACCCCAACAAGAAAACCAAGGGCAGCAGGTGCAGTGCAGGCTACAGATTGGCGGGAAGGAAGTCAGCTGCCATGTTTCCATCGCACCGCAAGCCCCGTGGGTGTGAACACCCTAAGGCCCCGTGCCAGCCATCAGAGATGGGCAGCTGACTGCAACAGAGATGTGTTTGCTCTCAGACCCAAGGCCACACACAGCGAGTCCCACGGTTGACAGGCCCCGTTCCTCTGACAGCCCCAGGAAAAACCACCAGCCCAGATCTCCCAGCCCCTGGCATGGGGGTGGCCAGATGTGCCTCATCTCCAGCCAGTACCCCCACTTTATCCTCAGGCCCTCAACGCCCATGTGCAACTCGGGCCTTTCTTCTTGTTATGGGCACTGGTCACACTCAGTAAGGATCCGCCCTCTACCATCAGGCCTGATCTTGCCTACTACACCCAACACAACCCCCTTTCCTAATGAGGTCACAGTCACCAGGGTCGGGGCTTAGGACTTCAGTATACATTTTGGGAGCCACAAGTCAGCCCCTAAGAGCAAAGACTCAACAAACACCCCCAGCAGAGCCAGGAAAGCACCTGTACCCTCTGAAGATGGGAAGAAACTCCAGGATTAATCAAATGGTCTCACTGCACTAAAAAGCCTTTCTTTCCATGAAGTTATGTCAGAACTGTGGGCAGCTGTAAGTGTCTAAGGGAAGCCAAAGAATGGATTCAGTCCCCAGGAGAGAGAGACAGAGAAAGAGACAGAGACACACAGAGATACAGAGAGACACAGAGAGACAGACAGAGACAGAGAGACAGAGACAGACAGACAGACAGAGACAGAGACACAGAGAGACAGAGACACACAGAGACACAGACACAGAGAGAGACAGACAGACAGAGACAGAGAGACAGAGACAGACAGAGAAACAGAGAGACAGAGAGACACAGAGAGACAGAGACAGAGGGAGACAGAGATAGAGAGACAGAGACAGAGAGACACACAGAGAGACAGACAGAGAAAGAGAGACAGAGAGACAGAGAGAAAGAGAGAGAACAAAGGCACACATGCTTTCTGTGCTTCCATACAGCGCACTCTAAAATATAAATCCATCAATCTCCGCTTCCAAGGAGCCCGCTTGGTCTGCGCTAGCGTCACCACCGGCCGTGTTAACCTGTGGAACAGTGTTGCTGAGCACATCCTGCCCTCCATGCCCACAGATTTCACCACTGTGGGCCCAACCAAGGGCTGAAAATATGGAAAATAAAATTGTGTCTGTACTGAATGCAGTTTTTTAAATTATTCATACCCATTTACACAGTACAGTGGGCAAATCAGAAATGATTTAAAGTATATAGGAGCGTGTGCATAGATGCAAACACCACATCATTTTGTCTTTTTGTTTGTTTACTTGTTTTTTTTAGTGGGGGGTTGCACTGGGAATCAAACGCAGGACCTTGCACTTGCCAGGCAGGCTGTGCTACTGACTATATCCCTGCCCCCACCACATCATTTTAGAAAAGGGACTTAGGCACCCGTACAGGTCGGGGTTCCTGGGCCTCCTGAGACCTCCGCCTGTGCAGACGGCGGGATGACTGTGTTACCGGTTCAGAGGCCAGAGCCGGTCTGACAGGAGCGCTTTCCGTATTGCTGTAACCAACGCTTCGCTGTTTCTGTGGAGAGAGGCTGGCCGCACGTTTTGTGGCTTCTTGGGCTCCTCTGGGACAGTGCCTGTCTGCCTTCTTTCCACAGAGGAGGATCTCCTGCCTATTTAATTTATAGGCCACATGATCAGATTGGCAGAACTATTCTGAAATCTTTAGGCATAAGGAGTATGGTTTTACAAAGCCATCTAAAACATGTTTATAAACAAGAACCTGATGTCAGAAGGCCCTTCCTACCCAGTCTGGTTTTCTTGGTGACATTACGATAAAGGCAAAAGGTGCATTAAAAGCTTTGGATCTGTACAGAGGGGGTAAAATCTCACCCACAGACAGTTCCTGTCTAAGGAGGAACAGGCCAGATATAGATCAATAGATGCAGTAAAATGTTCTGCCTTGTTTCAACCAAGCTACTCTGTAAAGCACCAGTGTTCTCACAAGATGAACAGGAATCTATTTCTAAAATTTCTGCATTAAATATACAATTTACTCTATAGAATGAATATGTCCGGGGGACAATTCACTGAAAAGTGATGTGCTGACTTGCCCTCTTTTCCAGGATAAACTCCCGTAATCACCCGCCACGCCCTGGCGGGCAGATGCTGCAGACTTTGCTCCTGAGCTGGGGGGGTTAAAACTTGATGCCCGAACTCCTAGCCAGCAGTACAAGCGTTTGCTGTGGGGCGAAGCTTTTCATCCTGGTTAGTCCAGCTGCTTCTGACTCACCGGGAAAAGGAACAGGCAAGTGTACATGGCTGTAGTACTCCTAACATCAGCACCTAAATGCACTCTCAAGGACAGAACTCTGGTCCTTGGACAGACAGCTGGACTCAAAAGCGTGCAGCCGTCATCTGCGAGGCTAGGGGACGTTCACGTCCAGTCTCTGTACTGCAGGATGGACCAGCTTCCTGGCAGCAGAAAGATCAATCAAACATCTCACAAAGGAGGCTCAAAGTTCAGTAATGTGAGACCTTAATTTACAGTGGTCTCCAATTTATTGTTGTGTATTTTTAAACCATGCTATTTAAAGCACAGCTAATTTAAAAGCTAGTGCTGGTACTGCATGGTCACTGCTAAAGATTTATCAGATGCTAATAAGAAAAGTAACCTGTCTGTGGTCCCAGGGCCCCTGAAGAACCCAACCTCCAATACCTCTGTCTGTTGGGTGACAGATACTGGCTTTCTGATAGGTAGTTTGCTACTTCTTTGTCTTGTATTTGTTATTTGTTTGCACTGCAGTTTAAACATTACAGGAAAACATACAGCCTTACTGGGTCAATACAACCATGCGTTTTTTCAGAGGGACCTCTTGTCCCCGTGTGACACCCTTTGTACAGCTCTTTTTTTTTTTGGAAGGGGGCGTGTACCAGGAATCAAACTCATGACCTCAGGCTTGCCAGGCAAGCGCTTATGCTGCTGAGCTACATCCCCGGCCCTGTACGGCTCTTCGAAGTCCTCTGGAAGCAGGAGTTGTGGGCAATGAAACCGGAGCCTCCATCCAAGAGTGAAGAAACCAGCTTGCCCCAGACCCACAGCAGAGGCTGACAGTGTGGGCCTACTGTGTGTGTATGTGTGTGTGTGTGTGTGTGTGTGTGTGTGTCACTGTGCTCCTGGCTGGGGAGACCAAGCCCACCACCTGCAGTCCCCACAACTCTCTCACCCCACACCTGTACCACCGCCTGAGCGGGGAGGACATTGACAAACAGCCCTTTCATGGCTCTTGGTAAACACACGAGGCACATCAGCACTACTCATTATGTTTGACACAAAAAAAAACAAAATTCCACCCACGTTCATCATGCACTAGAGATGGTTAGTGTAAGACAATCTGCAAGACGGTCTAAGGCTACAGATGGTAGTACAAGCAAATGGCACACGTGCTTAAAGGAGATGTTACAGTTTTCTAAGAATCTGCAATGTAAGTAATTAGGGTAATCAAAGCAAACACACAGTTTCCCATATGCACCTTGACACCCAGCTAATGAGACCAAGGATTCCCAGCTTTAGGGATGTTCATAAAAATTTAAAACATCTCTGGTTCAATCAACCAACAAACACATTTTCTAAAGGCCTTGATGCCATGCCTAACATGGCAGACACTACGTAGGTAGGCACAGGAAGTCATAGCGGAACCACGAGCAGGCACTGAGGAGATCCTGCAGTGGGGACCAGAGGGCCATTTCACAGAGGTCAGACCGGCAGAGCAGGAGAGCGGGAGGTGAGGAGGTGTGGGTGGTGTGGAAGGGGCCGAGGCCCAGGCAGAGGGATGCTGTAAGCAGTGGTATGTGTGGAGCAGGACAGCTAAGCACAGAGGTAGCACCGGGCATCCAGGGGGAGAAAGTAGCCACGTGAAAGGCCCAGCGAAGTCACTACCCACCAGTCCTCCCCTCCTTCCAAGCAGCACATCCTTCTGGGTTTGGATCCTGGGTCCTGCGTCTTGGCCCCCCATCCACCCAGACCTCCTCCTAGGCTGGATCTCTACCCACAAACCAGGCGCAGGGAGGGCTCCCGGAAAGCTTAGGATGGGGTGGGAGCCTCATTTTCTCTTCTTTGGAGACTGGGGATGGGGTAGGAAGGAGGAAATTGGGCTTGGGTTTGAGAAGATTACTCCTGGGTAACTGCCTGGTTATTATTACAACGGTTGGGTTTTTTTTAATGCTCCTGGCTTAAACTGGTTTTCCCAGAAGCAAACCTTGGGACAGACTGCCCTGCAGGTTGTGTAGCTGAGACACCAGGGGCCCACCGTAGGGTGGGAACTGACACGGGGACAAAAAGTCGCCAGCAACGATGTGGGGTGATGAAGACCCTCCCATGCAGGCACGGGGACCGGGACAGGCAGCACAGTGCAGGAAAAGGGACAGGGGTCCTGCGGGGTTGGGTGGGTGATGTGGGGCTCCCACGGCGTTCACTTCCGTACTTGTAACCTGTCTGGAAATCTTACTTCGAACTCCGCATTACAGAACAAAACAAAGCGAAAATAAATAAATAAAAACAAAAGAAAACCAAAAAACTTTCCATTTAGAAAAAATAAAACACAACCAGATACTGTCCCAGTGCCAGGCTTTCGGAACGGAGAAGACCATGTTGGGATTCCGTGTGTGATCTGAGTACTTTCAAAGTGTGGTGACCTCAGCCAGAAACAAGGGTGAGTGGCACGTATGCAGTTTAAAGGAGCTGCATTCAAAGGCTGTTAATTTGGTTTAGGCCTCAGAAAGACAAGGAGCTTTATGAGTACTTGTGATAGCAGCAAACAGTAAACATGAGACATTGGGACCAAGTGTCTTACACAACCATGTTAATGGGAAACAGCCTGCATATAAGATTGTCCAGCGTGAGTATAAAATGCTTGGCAATAAAGCCTTACACAGGAGCAACAAAAACAAAGAAAGTGGCATCTATGGTGCAGACACGTGCACCTCGGGCGACTGGAAAAAACAAGCCAGCAGTCAGACGGCCCTTCCCTCTGTCCTCTGACTGCTCCTGTTTAAAGTCTATAGTGTTAGCGAGCAGGACAAGAGGTACTCACAGCAGCTTAAAGCAGTAAAGGAAATACTGTCACGGCTTCCATAAGGGAAAGGAGTGCTAACTGACAAGCCCTAGGGACACTTCTGACTAGTCCACAGTTTTAAACCTAAAACTAATAAAACAATTGGCCAGTGCATCTAAGACTGCACCCTGATTTAATGTAACTGTTTTATATGATCTATGTTTTCTTATCTGTTCATCTGTTTTTAATAACTGGTTGAAATACTCGTGCCAGCTTCAAAAAAAATTTTTTTGAGCTAAAAAAAAGTAATAACAAGTAATGGGAAATCTTCTAGAACTTACCGAAGAGGTGTAACCTACCAAGAAGGTACAGTGTGCACGTGTCCAAGCTCTTGTTCCCCATAATTCAAGGGCATCTAGGTAATCTTTGCAGCAAATGGGAACAGCACCTCTGCAGAATGGAAAAATACACAGGAAGTGGGGGAGCATGCATAGGAAGAATGGAAGGTCCCTCGAAAAGCCAGAGGTAGATGTGACTTTACGCAGGGAGCTGGCTTCTTGCAGGGCACAAAGGTTTTGGGAGGACTTTGGTAATCAAGGGTGAGACTGATGACCACAGTGAGAGCTACGGCGTTAATAATAAAGGGACCCATGACATAGGCAAATATATGTACAGATCATCGCCTCAACTTGAGCCTCAAAGGCCCAGACGTATTACTGCTTTCAGATTTATTTATGGATCAGTGTCCTCATGCGATAAAGACTTGGCTTGTAAGCTAAAAATACCGAAAGTCACAACGCATGACTGGGCTTTCTCTCCTTTCTTTACTGCACAAGCGATGTCAGCACAGGCCACCAGTCCAGGGCCAGCTCCTTACTCATCCAGCAGACAGGACGGAGGTGTCAGAGAGGAGCCGCCCGAAGCTCTGTGCTAATAAACCATGGCCTCAGCCCCTGTCAACTGCCAGCGAAGTCACCCAAGTGGGCTGGGAATGTAGCTCAGCGGCCTAAGTGCCTGCCTGGCAAGTGCAAGGTCCCGAGTTCGATTCCTGGTACCACGAAAAAAGTCATGCAAGTTTTACCAGAGGCCTCTTCCCCAAAGTGCCCCTCTCCACGGCTAACCTGACTTTGCTGCAGGCTGCTGCTATCTGGGCTCCATGGAGGGAAAATCCGAACCCCAGCTCCTGGCTGAGCCATTCCTGGTGTGGTTAATATCCTAAGAAAAGGTAGAGAAGTGCCTCAGCATCCTCTCCACTGAGGAGGAGCTGCCTGGTCTTCTGGGGAGGTTGGTCTTTCCTTTTCCTTCCTTCTTTTCTTCTTTATTTCCTCCCTTCCGTCCTTCCTTCCTCCCCGCCCCAGCAAAGGCCTGAGTGCCTGCTGCTTGCCAGGAGAGAAGGAGCCTGGGGTAGAAATGTCCCAGGCTGTGGGAAGTTGAGTGTGTGCTCTCCTCCAAGTCCAGCGTGGACAAGAGAGAGGAGTGGAGACCCCAGCTGGGCCAGAGTGGAGAGAGGAATGGAGACCCCAGTTGTGCCTCAAGTGGGCGCCCAGTGGGAGGCCCCACTGCCCAGGGACGCCAGACGGCACTGCACTACTGCGAAGGGGGAGGCGTCCAGAGGGCACGGAGAGGAGAGACCTCAGCACACCTGTCCTGCCACTCGCAGCCGAGGGCCGAGCGGACGGGCTCTGCACCCCAGCCAGAGCTCTGCGCTTTCATAGGTGACACATGCGGCCACTGAGGATTTCAAGCTGGGAGGGACAGGGAAGAGCGTGGCAGGGAGGGCACGCAGGCAGTGATCAAGAAGTCCCGGAGGCCGCCCGGTGGAGGTGCCTGCCCGGAGAGGCTGACGGGGCCTGTTCCTCCAGCAGGCTGGGCTGGGGGGTAGCTGGAGGATGGAGGTTCATCCCGTTCAGGCGGGCGGAGATGAAAAGGCTGGAGTCTCCGTGGGGCGGGGCGGGGGAAGGCACTCCCTCTCTGGGTGTGCAAACCGGTACAGTTTGGGGTTGGAAATGTGGCTTTCCCCGTCACGTTTAAAAAGACTGTTCATACACTTTTCCTAAGCAATTTCTACATAAAATCCTTGCACAACTCTGTGAGCATATACACGGTTATCTCCTACAGCTTTTTTTTCTTTTTTTTTTTCTTGAATATTAGGGGTCAAACCCAGGGCCTTCACACTGAGCTACATCCCTAGCCACTTTTTTATTTTTCATTTTGAGATGGGGTCTTGCCCGGGATATAGCTCAGTGGCACAGTGCCTTGCTTGGCAAGTGCAAGGTCCTGAGTTCGATTCCAGGTACCAAAAAACAAAAAGAGAGAGACAGGGTCTTGCAAAATCACTAAGCTGCCAGGCTGGGCTCAAACTTGTGATCCTCCTATTTCAACCTCCCAGAGTGCTGGGATTACAAGCGAGTGCCACCACCCCCCTTAGCACTTTTAATGGTCCGAAAGACATGTTTTTAAAAGGAAGCAATCAGATATTCACCATCAGTCACATAAATTATGCCACTAGAAAGAACGAAGGGCCCAGAATCCCACGTGCACACCGTATCGGGGAGGCGGCTAAGAAACAATTCCAGAGAGGGGCTTGAGGGTGACGTTTCTCCCCAGTCCCAGATGGTTTGGCGGTGGCCCTGGGGACTACAGTGCAAGCAGCTGGGACTCGGATGAGCAGCATGGAGAGAAACTCCTGTGAACAGAAAACGCAGAACAACGTATGTGTCCTATTACGGTAAAAAAAAAAAAATCAAGACCAGGTAATGTATGTTCAAGGTCCAGAGGATGTGTTTCTTTTTTTGTTTGTTTGTTTTTCTGGTACTGGGAATTGAACTCACGACCTTGCATCTGCCAGGCAGGCGCTGTGCCGCTGAGCTAAATCCCCAGCCCCTGGAGGATGTGTTTCTGGAGGAAGAGTTTATGATAGACTTCCCCTCTGTGGTGGATTAATCAACTTGTGACACCCAGCTGAATTGAGTCAGCCTGGTGCTGGGTGTGGAAGGCCCACCTGAGGGTTGTTACTAACAGCATGAAAGGAGAACTGGAGGGGGAGTGGCGCTGTTGATTCTCCTGGAGAAGCTTGTCACGCTGGTTCTCCTGATATGAACCCAGCTGTTATCATCAGAGGAGCTTGGGTCCTTGCTGTTGCTGAGGATGGCTTCGGTTCTTTTCAGTGGAGCTCTGGTCCTTACTTTGAGCATCATTTCCTAGCTCCACTGCAGATCCCTCAGCCTGCTGACACAGATCCTTTGTCTCGCTGGTGCAGACTTTCTAGCTTCCACCACTGACCTTTGGGTCTTCCCCGTGCAGATCCTTGATACAGACTTGAAGGAGACATTGTCGTGGGCTCTAGGTCTCCAGCTGGACTCGTGGAGGACACTTCCCATGGGCTCTAGGTCTTCAGTCTAACTCATGCAGGACATTGCTGTGGGATCCAGGCCCTTAGCTGGATTCTTTCGGTCTCTAGCGTGTAGGGAGATCTCTTGTACTCTTCTGCATTTGACTTTTTGGGTGAATTATAAAATAATCCTATAAAGTATGTGTCTTGTATTAAATCAATTCCCTTGCAAATCTTGACTACAACACCCTCCTTAAGTTTGACATAAACTGTAGGGTTTCAGTTTGTGTGGTAAGTATGAGTCACTTTTGTGAGTAAAAAAAAGAAAACCAACACTTTAAAACAGTCAGTCAATAAACTGACACATTAAAAGCAACAAACAAAAAAGTTTGTGAGCCTGAGTTAAAAGTCACACTTTAAATTACATATCGGAGTATTCTTGCCGGGTCACGGGCGCTATCATTTATGAATAGCTGTCTCAGCAGGGTCAGCCAGCAGCTCCTCCAGGCTGATGCACCCGCCTGACTGCTTGGAGCCCCAAGAGTCCCTTAATGTCACTGCCCACGCTGTACCCCATCCACCTGTGACTCCCAGTTCCCAGGGCACCCGGAGTGTGGCTCCTTGCTGTCCACACTGGCCCTGTCCACTTCACCCACCCACGTCTTGCATGCTCCCTCACCCAGCACTCTGGCCACCTGGCAGCTCGGACACTTGCCATAGGGCTGTTCTAGGTTGGCATTCCTCATCCTGCCAAAGAGGGGGCAAAGTCTCCTGCCTCCTCCCCAACCCCTTTCAGCCAGGACTGTGGAAATACTTCTTTTCCCTGAGACCATCCCAATCACTGAACCCCGGAGCTGCACGGCTCTGGGTTGGGGATGGGGAGGTCTGTAAAGCAGAGGAAGCAGAACCAGCCGCCCAGGCCTCCCTAACATGGTGGCTCCCCGACAAGTCTGGGAAGTTCTGGTATCACAGAAAAGGCGTCTGCACAAAGATCCAGCTGCTACTGCCCGCCAACCAATCACGCACTCTGGATCCAGCCACCTCTGAGAGAGCCCCACGTATGACCACGGGAGGCTCTGGGGGGACATCTAGACATGGCCAGAACAGAGCGGCTGGCCAGGGAAGGAACCCATTGATGGAACCGTGAGCCAAGGGAGCCTCAACTCCTTTAAGTTGGGGTGTCGGGTGTTTTGTTCATCAGCAGCAGTGCCCACCCCTAGCCTGGGGTCTGGGCCTGGGTGCGGTGGGAGAGGCCTCCTGGTTCCTGCCTCCACTCTCCCTCCAGCCTTCACACTCACCCCAGGCCACTCCCCTCAAACAGCACACGGCCCAGGGGCAGCAGGGCACCAGGGGCAGCTCCTGAGGGCTGAAGGCCTCCTGGGATGGCACACAAGGCCGAAAGGGTTTGGGGAGCCAGAGGCCCTGTCCCCCAGTCGGTCACAGAGGCGGCTCAGACTCAGCCTCCAAAGCACGTGCTTGTCCCGGACACGGCAGCGGACCCTCCGTCCTCCCTGCAGGCTCCTCCCTGCTCCCGAACCCACAGCACTTCCCTCCCACAGCAGAGACACGGAGACGTGCTCCCCAGTCTTCTCACTCCCACACTGGCCAAACAGGGCCAGCGCCCCAAGTGATACCGCAGCCGTGAACCTCCAAGGAGCTCCAGGTGCAGGGCGGTTACTGTAGGTCACGCCGGCAGGCCTGGCCCCGTGCATCCTGGTGTGGAACTTGACATTTCCAGGAGCCTTTTTTATTTTTATCTCTGCCCCTAGGTAGTGGGCCTTAGGACCAAGGCCAGCGAGGTTGGTCCAGGGGCGATGCCCAGGCTCAGGTGAGTGGAGGACTGCAGTTCCGTGCCTCCTGATTGCCCATCCACATTAAACCCACTGGAGAAGCCCGAGCTCTGGTGCAGCTTGTGTGCCGCGGTAAGGGGTCTGCGCACTGCAGGGCCCCGGAGGTGGCATGGGCCCCAGAGGTGGTACGGGCCACGGAGGCAGGTCAAGGGGTCAGGGGTGGCGTCACCCTACATGGGTGGCAGCACCGTTCATCTAAAAGACAAAGCCTGGGGTTAGAAACCCAGGAATTAGGAGAGGAAGGTGGACAGGGTCAGAAAGGCAAGGAAGGAGGGCTGCAGAGGCGGGAGCACCTCCACTCCCTGAGCTGGCCGTGAAGCGTGACACTGTGTCACCATGACTGCCGTGTTGACAGAGGACACTGCACAGACCCAGGAGATGACGGGGTAAGAAGGTGCACTGGCAGCCCCTCTGTGCTTGAGCGGTTCCCAAGGCTTGTCCTTGAGTGAAACACAGAAAACAGGAACAAAAACAAACCCCCCAAGAGGCGGAACAGCGTTTGTGAGGATTCAGGGAAGAATACCGTGGGATCCGTTTGGAGAAGGCTGAGGTCAGAACGTTGCTGCTCCCCGAGGGGCCCCGGGTGCACAGCAGCAGGGACGAGCAGGCTAGCTCTTCCCTTATATTTCTCTGCTCCCCTTGCATTCTGTATTCAGTGCAGACAGCACATTTCCTATTAAAAATGAATTTAAAATTCTACAAAGAACACGGGCCGCCGCCAGAAACAAGAAGCAGCACAAGTTGTCACTGGGCATCTGAAATGACGCCCTCAGGAGGAGTTAAAGTAATGAGTTACCAGTCGGAGCTGACAAGTTGGCAGACACCAAACCATTCTTAAAACATCGAGACCGGCGTCTTCGCAGAGGGCTGGAAGTTCACAGAGGGCTTCTGAGAAGCTTTAGAGCAGCCGAGGGGGAAACAGACCGGGGCCTGGAAACTAAGCAAGGAAACCGGGAAACAAATTAGATGTCGGCTGCATTCTCCTGCGAGAATAAACTGCCCAGTAACAAAGCAGCGCAAAGGGAGTGGCTTAAAGCAGTAAAAAAAAGTGCTGTCTCCAGGCTTGGGG